CATGAGTCTGGGCCCTCAAAAAGCAGTTTGGATCTCTGGTGGTTTGGGACTCTTAGCCTCTTTCTGGTGTGGGCATAAGATGGCATAAGGGTATCCCAGGTACCAGAACATGATCAATGACCTGAACTTCTGGAATCCTAGAAGAAGGTCCAGGAGACTCAAGGACTGGTCGAAAGTTCCTGGGTCAGAATCTGGTCCCTTCACACTTCCACGAAGCCTTGACCGTTTGGCTTCTTCAGAAGCTGGTGCATCCTACTCAATGGTCACAGGATCTCACAATAGAAGGCAAACATGCAAACTCTGGGTGGTGACCTCTGCCCACGGGGGAACTGGCGGCATGGAGGCAAGAAAGGCACTCATTCACAGACATTTTGGGATGAAGAACCAGCTCAAGATCAAGAACCATTTGGCTCTGGCAGAGCCAGGTTTTCGTTTCTTCATCGGTGTCGTTTCGAGAGCTCAGCAGCTTGGACTCATCACCGAACCCACGGAAGGACCGAACTTTGGCAGCAGGGCCCTCGAAATACTCCAAAACTTCAACAGCCATTCAATATCAACCTCTGGTCTGAATACGAAGAATGGTCCCTTTAGTAGGGAATCTTGCAAACCAAACCTTAAGGGTCACCAACAAAAAGAAGCACACGACATATGTGTAATCGGTAGACACCCCCTGGTTGGAACATCACTGACAGTCTGATAGCCGTCCTAGCCTCCTAACATTGAAGAGACAAACAAAGGCTGGTCGATCTTGAAATTAAATCAAATCAACAAATGGTTATATAACTCAATGCCGCTCAATGCTGTCAATGCATATCTTTGAAACAATCATTCTAACACCACACATGGCTGTGGGTCAAACTCTTGCAGCTGTAGATGTGACCAGAATTCGACCTTCAGGTCGAGGGCGACATGGAAAACCCAGCGATCAATGAGGTGCAGGATCTGATCTGTCGGTTCTGATTGCATATATTGGGTGCCACCCCCGCAAAGTAACATGGAACCTGAGAGTTGAACCATTGTTGAAACATGTTGAAACCATTTTCCGAATACCAACCGAGTGGGCTTGGGGTTCCATGTTAACAATCTGCAGGGGAGTATATCTTGGGTCTATCCTAGTGTATACCAGTGACCATGGATGATGATTGATAGTTAAGGTTGCAGGCCGTTAATATGACCAACCCAAGGTATTGTCCATTTCCTGGGCCCAGTGGATCATGATGGTTTGGTTGCAGACCGACATCTCTAAACATATTATATAGATCTTCTTGGTTACCGACTGTTACAGGTTTTCTGGGACACGCCCAAAGTACAGTATACATCCTCTTTCTGGCAAAGCAAACACGTGTTCTATTGTTGATGATGCAGTTGTTTGGCTGCCCGCATGTGTTTTTGTATGATTAAGCCATCACCCTAACTGGAGCCTTGCCTTTGCCTTTGTTTTGATGCCGGCCATCCCAAGTAAGCTCATGCAAGTCATGCCAGGCACCCGCGCTCATCTAGCCGAAGCAAGGTCTGCTTCGTGACAGCTTCCACGAGCGAGTGAACCTGAGTCACGACGCCCGAAGTCAGCTCCCGTTCTCCTTTCACAATCTTGAAAGAACGGAACACTCTGCTCCCAAATCCATCAAAACACCGAAAGGTTCGTCGCAGCTTCGTGCCCTCAGGAAGCAGCTTCGGTCGACCGCTCACCGCTCCGTCGGAGCCACGTAGACTCTTGGGATCGGGGTCGATGCCAGGTCATCTTTACTAGTAATGCATGCCCTTCTTACTAGTAGCGATGCAACTTGCCATTTAGTAGCTTCTTAATTGTTATTATAGTAGTAATGCAGGTCACCTGATTGAACCTGTGGGTGATTCATGTTGCATTGTGCCCTCCATGCAACCAACCAAGGGCGCAAAAAGCCCATCTGTAAACCGGACATCCTGTTCAACAGGTCCAGATTCACTGTGGGTTGGAAGGAATGCATCACCACATCAAAACGCAACAGTTGGTATAAACACTTGCGCATCAAGTGGTGCTTTTGGGTGTGATAAACCACCAAAAGCCTTTCTGCAAAGTGGAAGATGTTGCACATGGATAGGATCTTACACTTTGGTTGCTCTGTTCCTGAAATATCTCAACCTTTATTCAGATATGATTAGCTTAGTGAATCATGTCATATAATGTCCATCTCCTCACACCAGACCGCTCGGTATACACCTCCTCTGGGTCGGAACTCAGGGCCCTTAAGGGCCTGCGCCCCGGTTCCGTCTGACACGAAGTCCCCATGTCCGTCGCTTCCGCGTCAAACACCTGCCCTGAGCTCCCCAGCATAGGTTCGGGTGGTCGCATAGGCATCCAAAAGCAAACATAAGTCTCGCGATGTGCATATTGACCTGAACCATTCACATTTGAGCTCTGCAAAATACTTATGATTAAACCCCTATGTCGCATAACTTGCTTACGCTTTTCTTACGCGACCACAATGTGAGCTTACGCGCCACGGATGTTGAAGAAGACCTTACGCAGATCTTGCGCTTCTGTATTTTCACAGATGAGAACCATACTCCCAAGGGAAATGCTTACGCGAAGGCTCCTTTTTGCAGGTGAGCGGGCGACAAAAACATGATCACTAAGACTCCGAAGCAAAGGAAGCAGAGGATCACTATAGCATCTACTTACTGGCTGCCGTGGGCTAGGGTAGGCAAATGAAAAGTTGGCTTAAGCGAACCTTACGCGGAGCTTACGCGAACCTTGCGCCACCAAACCCTCACCAAACGGAGCCTGGCATGTTATGACATGTTATGACATGTTATGATGGGCTGACTTGAGAAAGGTTTGATACAGAGTGGCAAACACCAACAAGCACAGTGCACACACCTGAAACACAGTGCACACAAATGTCAGTTCCCAAGGGTTTCAACGCTCCCGTGGATAAGTGTGTGCTAAGAATCTACTAATGAAAGCACAACCATATGGCAAGCTTATGCAACATGCATGTCTCACAACTCCCTTACGCAACCTTACGCTTTTCAGGTTTTTGCTTAAGCCCAAGTTCCATATGACAAGGCCTTTACTTAGTTCATCTTGGGAGGGTTCTTGCGGTGCTCATTTGAGCAAGTGTAATATATTACAATTATATATTATTCTTATATAATTTAAACGATTGTAAGAGGTGGTGTTGTCAACATCCTTGGATAACAAGGCAGAAACTCAGCTCATTGGACCCCATCTTTATGGGGTGCCAGGCCTTGGATGTTAAAGCGAAGAACAAACTCTGGCGAACAGCAGCTGCAAGTACCCAGTCAGTGAACCAACGCACTGGCAAGCTTGGAGGGGTGAACAACAAAAACATCCCAGACCATTCCATGACATGGTAACCATGTCGGCTCCGTCTTCACTCCGAGGAGCAGCGTGGCGATCGCCCGGTCTGCCATGTGGATGAGAAGATCTTCCTCGCAGGGCGCTGCGCGGCTCCCAGGAAGCCAGGAAAAAGGTCACAAACATCGCGATCCATGGAGGTTAGGGGTGCCCAGAACATCCACTCATTTGGAGACTAAACACCACCCCGACATGTCGTTTTCCTGGCAGAACATCGGACATGGACGTGCTCTTCATCGATCAACCGGGCGACCGGAGACCGACCAAACCGACGAGGCTGTCCAACATCACCGGATCCGCCCAGCTCGACCGGTCCTGCAAATAGCCCAGCTCCGCGAAGCTGCGACCTTTCGGCACGGGGGCGTGAGGTCGCTGGTTGGGACCGTCACGGTCGTCCCTCTGCTTCTTTGGTCGCCAACGGTTGGGGCATAAAACGTGGATGATGATGTTGGTTTGAAAGAAAGGTACTAGGAAGGTACTGAGAGATCCTTGAACTTGCATACACCCTGGCCCCCCCAGAACTGTTTTTCATGTGGGTTGAGAGACAATGCCCTTCTCAAGCCGTCCGTTCCTTCATCCCCTTCATCAATCAAGTTACACACGCGTCCCTTCCCCCAAGTGACACTCCGCGTTGCTCCGTCCCGTTCCACTTCTTCGACCCCCGACAGAGGGCCGCCAACTCGGGCGCCGTCCAGTCGTCCAGGCTCCTGGGATGGCCGGAGTCCGGTCCACCGCCGTTCGCGACGCCGGAAGGTCATGGTACAACGCAGAGGTCCCGGAAGGTCGGCCCGGTGGTCGCGTGGAGTTCGGCCAAGACAGGCCGAAGCAACGCCTGCGCCCGCAGGGAAAGAAAGGGAAGAGAGGATTCGTTGCCAGGAAGGCCGAATGCCTGCCGGCGCCTGCCGAAGCATGCGTGGAAAACAGTCTGATCAACCGGATAAAGCACTATTATAATTTCAACTATAGCGGAAATCAACAGGAACAACCAGGACTTTCAAAGGTGACGACGGGGTCACTTAATTAGACCCGTAAAAGGTCACAAACAAAGGCTCCAAAGAGGTCACTTCGAAGGTCCTGGAACGTTGAATCCATTTTACGTTCAACAGAGCGGAACATTGTGCAGGTGAGCGTTGGAATTCATGTGCTGCGAAGCTTACTCGTAAACAACACACAGCCAAACACTCCACGAACTCCATGTATGTCATATATACCTAGCACTTCCAATGGGTGCCCAATGGAGGCCTATAAGTAGGGTACAGTAGGGTAGTCTATTGGACACCCATATTGGATAATCCTGGTACCTACATTGGGCGGTTCACATGTTGGTGCCCATGGATTGTCGCCGCAGCTGGCATGACCTGGATGACATCTCAGCCCCATCGCAGCTCTGCAGAAATGCCAACTCAAATGCGCTAACTTGCATGCGAGTCACCCTAACTTGCAGCATTTTGCAACATCCACTGGTCATGTCGCAGCTGGAAGAACTGTACACTGTACATCCAAGTTGCTGCCGATCTACAAAGCCCAGCGATGTCCGGTCTTCAGGAACTAGAGGGGAGGATGCCAAGTATCATAGGATACCTATCCTGTTGCTATCTACTATTGCTTGTTCACGTCACATATACATATATATGATACATATCCCTCTATTCATCAACCAACCAAGGCCGGTTGTAGGTCAGGTCGTCTATGACGGAGCCCTCAAAGATCATAGGTTTCAAACCTCATGCGCCTCATGTTCGACTTCCTCGAAGTCTTCCTTCGGGGTTTTCGTTGGCGGCCCACACCTTTGTTGACCTTGCCAATTGGTCGATTCCACGTGAAACGGCGAGTGATCCTGGGGCAAAAGGTCTCCAACAAATCATCAAGGCTACCTAAAAAACGCCACTGGCGACCTAAAAAAAACCACTCAGTGCAGGGATCCTCATCATTCGACCAATACGACAGCGCTGCTTCCGGGCGAAGGCCGAGCAAATCGGTCCAGAGGTCATTGAATCGTCCTAGAAGTTCCTTGGGATCAGCGCCCAGCTCATGCAAATCCTTGGCGTGGCCAAGAAATTTCACAACTGATCTTGCAGTTTAATCACTTCAAGTTTCGCAGTTTGTTTGTCGCCCGACAGAAGTTTTTCATGGCGAGGTTTCTTGTCATTGTTGCACCTACCAAATAATGGCACCGTCTAGGCTACCGGCCTCAACACAAATGCCACGCATGTGCTACCTGGCTCAAACCCGCTCAAATGCAAATCCCACCTCGTGGTGTGAGACTCTTCCATCAATCGTGCCTACCTTGCCAAGGGGATGTGTCCGTTTCCTTCACCGAACAGCGCGGGGGGGGCCCATGCGCCGCCCGTGTCAGCTTGGGCGGTCCCTATCGGTCACTATCCAGCATCCAAGTCTCTTGAAACAAAATAAAACAAACAAACATGTGCCTCTTCACCTCTGGGATTCCACTTCCAAGGCCTCTTCACCACGCTCGGCCTTGTACCTAAAGACGTGCCTCTGTGCGAAAAGTTCCTCTTCAGCGGCTTCCACCCGCGTCTCCAACTTGCGAAGGCATTCCAACTTTGCAAGGTACAGCACCAGAAGCTTCTCCTCTTGTGGTGAGACGGACTCGTGCCTGAGATGAAATTCCACGTTAACTATTCCTCCATTAGCCCAGGGCGAGGGCGCGTGGAGGCAACACAGCCACGGGAGGCAGCTCAGCGAGGAGTGTCTGACAAGCTCCACAAGCTCATTTGCTTTGGACGCGACCTCAGCGGCGACACGGTCGACACGCTGTTGGCAAAGCTGCAGATCTGGAAGCTCTTGCCGGAGAAGATCACATTGTCTTTCCTTAAGAATCCACAGGTTTGGATGGATGTAAAGGGGAAAAGGTCACGGTTTGGATTCCACCAGCCAGTTCGAACGGAATTCCGTTTGGTCTGTTCTTGGCCTCCCTCGATGATTCGGAGACTGGTCTCAGCCCATGTCATGCACCAATACTGATGAGGCGCTGCCAGGACGCTCCCTCCGGTTGAACTTCCCTGAGAAACATGCGAACCAATCTAAGAATCAGGAAAAGAAAGGTGGTACATGGTTCAAACATGGAGCCAAAATCCTTCATGAACACGCTTATGAATGAATTAAATCATGGGTGGGACATGGTTAAATCCTTCATGGTTGAACGGTGCCGATAGAAACGACCGAACACACTTGGTAAGTGTGGGTTTGATCCATATCTGGATCTTCCAACTATGCAAACATGATAGGCAAGTTGGAAGATCTAGGTATGCGAATGATTATGATTAGGCAGAACTCCCTTGAGCAATCATGATTAGTGACTAGGGTGAGCCGTGAGTGATGGCGCCATGTACCACCGGTCGTGCGACAGGTCAGGCCGCTGTGCGACCGCCTCACGAGTGCAATCGAGCTTCAAAGGCCATCGTCCTTGGATATGCTGCCGATCAAATCTGGGGGAGAGTTCACCACCTGCTTGGTATTCGGAACATGGTCTTCCAGGATCTTCCTGGCATCGATTTTCCGCTTCCAGGCATAATACCGTGGTTTCGGAGAAGATGGGCACCCCAAGATGAATCCTTTAGAATTGTTCAGATGGGGGTCCATATAGTCATAGACAACCTTTTGGAGGATTGTATGTATATACCATCTACCCTCAACCCACGAATACCCACTATACTAATCAGGGCTTGGACAAGCAGTGGTTGCCATTTGTTGCTGGTCGGCCACTCGTTCCGTCTTGAAACAAACGCAAACAAAACAAAACACTACCGGTCTCGAATTCGGTCTGAAACAGAAATCATCTGCTCAGCCATCCAGGCTTCTCTTGGTCCACGACGGCATAGCATGGCAAATCCAAGGGGTCGTCGAACTCCGAAAGGATCTTTCCACCGGACGTGATCTTCCCACAGCCTTAGCCACTATCACTTTTGCTGTTTCCAAACCCTCCTCCGGGTTCACAGTGACAGAGTTGCCGTTCAGGCACAGAACTTCCATGGCAAACTCAGATTCGGAATCGCTTGAGGCAGTTGCAGCTTCAAGGTGCATGTCGAAGAATCATGAACAATCACTCTGCAAGGCAGCAGACACTCTTTTTTTGCTTCACAGTTTCAGGCACCTTCGGAACTCTTTTTTTTTCTGTTGCACTATTCCGTGGGGCCATCGCTTAGTAACTTGGAGGCCATCCGACGCCGCGGGCCTTCGGTTCCGTGACGCCGACGCGTTTCGGGCCCTCGGCGCTCCTGAGGACGGTGGCCTTGAGCCGTTGGCACAGCACCACATGCCTCCTCAGCTGAAAAGAGACACACGCAGGTACCTTCCAGGCCGCCCAAAAGGGCCCAGCAGTAGGCCCGGAAGATCCACCAAAGGCGGTGGTCATGCTGTGATACATGGTGATACTGTGGAGAGTGTCCATCAGCTGTGGGAGGGACAACTTCAAGTATCCTCCTCCTCTGTATTCATTGGTTAAATACCTAAAAACTCCCTCCTACACGATCCTTGGCCAACGCGCAACAATATGTATTTTCTTTTCTCTCTTTTGTAGAAGTTGATTGGATTTCAGAGCATATTTGTTTTAATTGTCTTTTCTCTCTCAACTCTTCTGTTCATAGAAGTTGTTTGGATTTCAAAGCAAACACGGTTCGTGTATGCAGGAAAAGAACCTCAAGGGCTCCAAAAATGACCTCCAGATTTCACGCCGCCCATGAGAACAACTCCTGTCCCACACTTGCCGCTGCCATGGCCTGATGGAGAGGCACCCCCATCAGGCGTGCTATCTCCCTTGCCGAGGAGCCGGTCGATGAGCACGAAGTTCTCCAAGATCTGCAAGATCTCCTGAACAACGAACGGGTCGATGGCTTGAATTTTGCCTTGTCGCGCTCGCTCAACGGACCCACGAAGCGAAGCTGTAGAAGAAGCAGCACGAGCAAGTGTGGAAGTTCGGTGGAGTCGCTGGAGTGATAAGCTTGTTGGGCAGGTGGAGGATAAACTGTTGATATCTGCTGAGAAGCAGGACAAGCTGGTGATTCACCCACCTGTGCTGTTAGCCTCTCGTGAGTAGAGCTCGTGGCACCAGTAACAAAAAAGCCGCAGGAGTGCCAAATGGCAATGTCCTTGAGGCTAACTAGTAACTACAACTAGCACTCAAACAAACCCAAAGATGTGACTTACTGCGACTACAACTACCACATCTTTTGGCTATATTCCTGCTGATCAAGTTGTTGGCAATTCATGGGACATGGGCTCTGTAGAAGATTGCTTGGTTGAACTATTCGGCTGATTCTGGATGTTGATTACATCGACCACCCAGTTGCTTGGTGGAAGATTGGCATACATCGAAACCTCAAATCACCAACATGCCAAGATTCCAGCCATATGCTGTGGGTCTTTCAACCTGGGAACCCTGGTGACAGGTTCCAAAAACCTGGGGCGATGGGGCTTCGTTCGCCCCGCAAGCGCCCCTCTCCAGACTCTGCGGACCTGTCCTCCTTCTCTGTGGCTTTGGCCATCTGCGGAATGTTCCGGAAGCGGCCCCAGAAGCCCTCTGGAAGAAACACGGTCGTGCCACCGAGCGGCGGCACAAGGCTAGGGTCAGGTGCATATAATATATGATATGCATGTTTATGCATATGCATATATATATATATATATTGAAGGTCTAAGTAAACAAAATGATCACCTTCGATCACCCAAAATACTTTTGACATGTCTTGACCAGTTCTTGACCAGTTGATCTTGTTACGTCCATGTTACGTCTCTGTTTCAACCGGAGTCTGATGTTCAATTGACTCTGAACACGGTAAAAAACGGTCGGCCTTACGCTCACCGTTTCGATGTACGGAACGAACCACTCACCAGTCCTACACTCCCGAGCCAACTGGACGGTCGAAAACGAGACCTTCAGAAACGACGGTTTTCCTCAGAAACCAGTGGTTGAACCGTCGGGAGTTGAAGCCGTGGAGTAAACCAATGTGAAAAATGTGACACATTCGATCCCGGGCAGCTCGCGTTGGCATTTTCGGTCACGGCGAAAGGTTTCATGAGGTCACATTACATCCACAGCAGCTCTCAGTCTCAGCAGCTCGGCTCACAGGGTTGATTGAGACCTGTAAGACTTCGGCGTGGCGCCCCGAGCCAACGCCCTCATCTCACAACCACACACTGTGCGCAGGACATTGCAGGACCTGTTTTCGTGTAGAATAACACAAAGGTCTGAAGCATTGAAAGGCTACTCACCAAGTCTAAATTCATTTCTTGTCCCCTCAAACCGGAGTGTTGCCTCTGTGAACTCAACGTGGAAACCAGACACTTCTTCCACCCGCAGCTTCACCTCGTTGAGTTCCAAGTGCTGAAGCTGCTGAAGCACTTCGGCGCTCTCCAGCCTTGGAGTGGCTCCAACCGCAGAACACACGACTGGGCAACCAAAAGCTCAGACCAAAGGGTCTATCAAGGGATCTTTTTCAGTGATATCCCTTGTGATTGCTCCTGTTATTTGTCTGGGAATCGTCATAACGTACGTCCGACATTTGATGATAAAGGGTTCGCTCTTCCCACAAAATGGGACATGGAGGCTGCTGACATCATGAGCTAGAGCAAGAAGGTCAAGCACAGGACATGAAGAGCAGCTTTGGCCAGTGCTACGGCTGTGGCCCCTCAACCGAGAGCTGGCAAACTGTGCAATCAATCTGCTTTATATATATAATTACATTAATGGATTGCTAATATGGATACACCTTGGTTCGGACATGAGTGTTTTTTTCCAACCGTTTTTCCTGCTGTGAGTTCGTTCGGACATGCAAACAGTGGTGTTCAAATCGGACTTATATAGGTTATTTTGCCACCAAACACCTTGCATTGATCCTGCTGCATCCCGGTCGGGTGCACGACATGTTCTGCCGATTAGAACGCAAAAGATGTGCATATATATATATATCCCTAGGGATCCAAGTACCTTCTCAGACGGTGATCGGAGGCACTCTTATGTAGGTATGGAGGGTCCAAGTACCTTCTGAGGAGGTACTTGGATCCCTAGGGTATATATACGTGTATATATACATATGCTGTGGGTCATTCACCTGGATGGTTTTCCATCTCAACATCATCCTGGTCGGGAGAAACCTCCATGACACCTCCAGCGTCCCCCTGGCACCCCTCCATGACACCTGCCATCAACATGTCCAACAAAGGAGAATGGGCGCGTGCCTTCAACAATCAGACCAGATCACCCCCAACAAAAACATGTTGACTCTGACAAACACATTGGAAGTCTAAAATATCCAAGGACTTTAGACTTCCAAAGACCAGAGGATTTTTCTAGACTCCAATATCTAGTTTCTGTTCGGAAAGCAGTCATTCCAAGGACCATGCGATGAAAAAAAAACATGCTATCCACCGAAACATGGTCCATGTGTGAAACCATGAGTGCATGGTTTCCTTGACCAGGGTTTACAAGGCCCATGGAACTGGCTGATGCCACCTACATTGGAATTTGTTTAGTTGTTTCGATTCGGGTCCAAATGGGGGGCAGGCCAATCTTCCAGTCTCATGATGATTCCCTGTTGTCTCATGGAGCCGGTCGATGAGAAGTGTGCCAAGTCCATCCTTCGGAGCTGGGTGATGAACCAACGGTTTCAGTTTCTCAACACCGTGATGCAACCCACAGCCAAGGCCCCCAAACTCGTTAGGCTCGACCTCAAGCGGAGGAAGATCTGGTAGGAAGCGGATTGGCTGGTGGGTGGGCTGATGACTTCAGTCTGCTCTTGTTTGGTGCTCTTGTTTGGTGCCATGAATTCAGTGTTACTAGTAGCTACTTGCTTCCTTCGTAGTACGGCCAGGGTCGCCCCGTTCGTAGCTTCTTGTTACGTTCGTAGTAAGAATGCTCCGTTAGGTCGGTTTTTCTCTCCGGTGCCTTCTGGGCGCCTTCTGAGGAGCGCAGCCGAGCCCTATCACTTGCTGCTGGGTAGGTAGGAAAATCCAAGGCTCTTTACGGACTGACCTCTGAGAAAACATCGGTCTAGCCTGTGCTTTTGTGCCAGAAGACCGACCGCCGGCGGTCTAGCCGACCAGTTGGAAAGGAGAGGTTTGAAAATGAGGTCCAAATCATGATGAAACACAACATGCATGAACAATACACTCTTCCAGCAGAAGTCCAAAGGCTCTACTTTTTCTAAGTGGGGTATTTCAAGGGGACATTCTCCCCTTAAGTCCTGACGGTGGAATTGGGTGAAGGAGGGGATCTGTGGAGCCTGTGGAGCGGTTGAACTAGGTTGTGGAACCTGAAAGCAATGGCCGCCAACCTAATAGGGCCTCCAACAGGTTTTCTTCCTCTGGTGTCTGGTGTTCAACCATCCCGGAAAGAGGTAACCCTGTGAGTCCAAGACCCCCTTCTAGGGTGACCAATGATCCTGTAAGAAAAACAACTAAAATCCACAACCTTGACTCATTGACAAATGATTTACACTCCTTCCTTATGATTTACACTCCTACCTGCAACTGCGTCGAGCTCATGGAAACAAAACGTCTCTTGACCAATGTACAAGCTGAAATGAGGTGCCACCACAAAAACATACGAAAACCCTAGCCAGTTGGCCTTCCTGGATGTGTTCTGTCTCTAATGATGACCCAGCGCTTGAAACATGTTGGAACCAAACCTTGTTTGGTCTGCCTGTCACATCCACATCTCCGTGTGTTTCACAGCTATAGTTGTTCATACCTATGGCCAGCAATGCAAGACTCAGAAGAGGCATGTTTCAAATGCACTCCATACCAAACCACGAAGAGAAAGATACTCTAGCAAGGCAGGCAAGGCATGTATTCCATGGCTTTACAAGACGCATAGTACATGGAATTGGAATTGATCACAAATGATTCCAAGACACCCAGAAACCATCGTCCTCCAAGCAGAAAACAACATGTCCAATACCACTTTTACTGAAATGTCCCTGAGCAAGGACTCTGGAAGATGTCCTCCTACACAGTCACTGTTTGGTTCTCGTAGTCTATAAATTCTCCCATTGGACAGGAAATAGGGACCTACCTATGCCCCATCCCAATTACCCTCCTGTAGCTATTTCCCATGGATGGATGGTCTGGGGTATTTGGATTCCCAGTGATGTGAGCTCCTGGCCACGAAGCCAAACTCGGTGCCGGTGCCTTGATTCCGGGACATGACCGAAGCTGGTGGCCGAACGTGGAAATTGATGCAAAATGCATGCATGTATACATATGTCTGTCAAGAAATTTATTAGCACCTTCTTCACTAATT